CTAGCATTTTAGGCTAAGTAGGAAACTATCGTGCCACTGCCTTTAATCGACACCGGAGGGTTAGTGGGCAGAAGGTGGTTGTGTCAGTTGATAAGCTATCCGAGATTTGACCCGTGAAGAGCGCGCTTCGTAGGTAGCACTACCAGTTACTGTACTGACTTCTCCCGCTAAAAGTTTCATTCTTTTATAGTAGCTGTTCTATTATCAGGTGAAGTGTTCGATCTTACACTGATATGATGGGTTCATGATTTGTGTAAAATGTTTACTTTTTTCTATTTCAGAATCGCATGGAAGAGTCAAAGGCGTTGTTTAGAACAATTATAACATATCCGTGGTTTACAAACTCGTCTGTCATTCTCTTCCTTAACAAAAAAGACTTATTGGAAGAGAAAATATTATACTCACACTTAGCAGACTATTTTCCTGAATATGACGGTAAGGATTTGAAGTATATTGAATTTTTCTTTTGATTTTTGTAGATGCTATTCACTTTTGCTCATACAGGTCCACCGCGAGACCCGATAGCTGCGCGCGAATTTATCTTGAAAATGTTTGTCGATTTGAACCCGGACGCCGACAAGATCATCTACTCCCATTTCACCTGCGCAACAGGTACGCGAATTGTTTTAGAGGTTGAGTAGCTCAGAGTGGTCGAATAGATGTTGATGGGATCGTTTTCAGATACGGAGAACATCCGTTTCGTGTTCGCTGCTGTTAAGGACACGATTCTGCAGCATAATCTCAAGGAGTATAATCTGGTGTAGCGCGTCGTCGTCAAGTCGCCGTGTCGCCGGGTGCTTGTCTTTCGTTGGTTCGTTGTTCGTGCGTCGACGTCAATGTCGACTAGACTGCCCGCGTGAGCCGCCGCCGTTAAATCGCCTAGGAATCGTTGCTTGCTCGGCTGCCAAGCGTCGTCGTGTCGTTGTCCTCGCTCATCTCATCCAATCTACCAATTGATTATTTCTATTCCTTCCTCCACATAGTTTGCTCGCAGCGCCCGTTTAGGGGGTTCCCCGTTCTATGTCACTATTTCCTCCTCACCACACAGCTCGTATTCCGTCCAAAGTGCGCGGACGCTCCGCACTGTAAGTGCCAGATGGCGCGGCGTTCCTTCCACATGTTTTTCGTCCTTTTTTTTCTTCTTTTGCACTCCTTCCGCTGATCGCTCTCTCGCTGTATCAGTCTCGAGCGTCCTGCCCCTCCCACCCCCCACACGGCATACCCCTATAGCACTCCCCTGCATGGGTATCGGTAACGTTTATTATGTATATACCGACGTATCCCTAGTCACGATTATCTGCTTCTCCATCCCCTCCGTCCTAACCAATTCTCGCAACACTCCAATTGACCCTCCTTTTTCTCTATACCTTTTCACGCAGTACACCACACCCATTTATATATTGTATCAAATATTTTCGATAGTTTCTAATTCATATTTATTAATTTTGAACTCATTTTGTGTAAATGTTTTGTGGATATGGTTATTTCATTGAATTTTGTTTGTTTTACAGAAAATAAATGAGCCAAAATTTGGGCACATCGTGTTCGTTACACACTGAAATAGTCTTCGAACTACACAAGTGGTCAGGAATACGCGGTTCTGGCTTTTTGCTCGTAACCGCGTATCAGTTTGAGGGCGCATTTCGGCTTGGTGGGGGCATTTTACCGGTCTATCGATCACTGACGATCCTGTGGAGGCCTGTAAATTCCTGTAAAGTAAAGCAATAGCAGGAGCTCAGTTTACGCTTGACAAGAGGCTCTACAGGTCTCATCATGGTGTGACGAGTAATTCAACGGTAACTAGCAAAAGGAATCAGTGAAAGTGCAAATGCCCTTCCCAAGCCGAACAGCGCCCTGTGATGAAACAATCTGAAAAAGGTTACGGTGTAACTTTGGACGGTGAGACCGCCAAAGCTTCACAGAAACGATCTCAGTGGGAACATTCCACAACAAATGCAGAGTGCTTTGCAGTTAATCCAAATGAATTTAATCTCTTGGGCAAGAAGAAATAAGTTTTTGCGATTGGCTAAACATTAATAAGTATTTAGATATTGACAACCCTGAAGTCAAAATCAAGACACGTCCCCCCAAAAATGCCGACTAGATAAAATGGCTGAAGGAGAACTACTAGTTAGGCAATCAAAAGAGTTCAAGGTTAATTCTGAGCCACTACACTGTAAAGACACAGCGTCTATTAAAAAGAAATAAAAAAATCAAAGTGGGCGATCGTATCAAGCCTGAAAACGGAGCATTTTAAAAAATAAATCAAAGCTACTAATAAACATGCAGCATCCATTATAATGCACAACGAAAAATAATTAGTAAAAAATTATGATAGAACTCTATGATAAGTAGTACGAAAATCAAAAAGACATAATAATAGAACAAAAGACACTATAACGAGAAATAACAAGTACATTAGAGAGCAATAGCTTCAAAACCGATCAGCGAAATCAGCGGAATGCCCAACCAAGTGAACATACACCTTCAGGGATGCACAACAGTTTATAGCTCACTAGAGAAGTGTGGCAGCTTGAACACGCAAAAAGGGAGATACTAATCAGTGTTCGCGATGGGACATAATGAAGAAAAAAGCAAAGTGACATCACAGTATGAATCCTATAGGAAAATTTTACAAAGCAAGGATAAGAACCAATAACCAGAGAGCAGGCTAATAGAGAGAGACAAAAGAGTGGAAGACTGGAAGTGGACCTCACACAAAAAACAACTGCTGATATAAAATAATAAAGGAACCAGTGACAGACTAATTAAGAATGATATAATGAATAAGAAATATTTAGACCGAATAAGCATTGTAGATTAGAAACATCAGTGTATCTCGTATTATCAAATAAAGACAGCGAAAAGAGCAGAAACTCCAGACTATGACAAAGATACTATCACTTGGGTCAGGAGAAGTAGAACCCCAGATAGCGCCCTGTCAGAAGTCTGACAACCAACAAGATGTTTTGCAGACAGAGACCATAGGAATCTCCGCTTCCGATAATGGGATAGACAGATTTCTCACCTTGCGGGAGCGTGGGGAAACTCTTGACTGATCAACGCGATACCGACAGAAAGACATTTGATAGGATAGGGAAGGTGTGGCCAAAGTTTGTGGTCCCGTGAGAGATTCACAAATACCCAGGGGAGACACCAGGTACATCCACTTTTAGATCCTGTTTCTAAATAAACTCTAGTTCGCTGCGAACGGTTGGGTGTGTCAGGCAGTATGAGTGTCACGTCCTGAAAGCCGTTCTCTGCCTTCTTGTTGATGCGAGCAGCGACAACTAATGGTAGAGAACGAGTAATACGAACGATATGATACAGTCATATCACTTGCTCGCTTTAACAACTGGAGAACGGGTTTGGCACCGCGCCAAACTCACCCCGCCTGACACGCCCGACCGTCCGCAGCGAACTACACTATATTTACGTCATTTACACGGCAGCATTTCATTCCAAAATTTACTCACAAGTTGTTAAAACGTAAGAGATTGTAATATTGAATCCCAGCCCTATGAACGACGCAGGTATCGTGTGTGAAATCGTAATCAGTCGGCTCGGTTCCAAGAGGGTTGAGGAACCCATACAGTAAGAGATGGGTTCATCCCGCCCTTCTGACACCGCTCCCTACTGATTGCGATGCTATCAACTAAACATAAATTTAGTCCAGACGCTAAATCAGTTATCCGGTCTGCAAATCATCGAGTTTTTGGCGGAAGAATTAGAACGACTGTGGCGAGAAAAAGAGCTGAGAATAGTTGATACCGTCGCAATCAGTTCGGTGGTGTCAAAAGAGGCGGATTGAGCCCGCCCGGGCTGCAATTTCTATCAATAGTGATCGATTAGTGCCGATCCGGCAAAAAAGATTGTTGGTAGATAACGCTGCGAATGGGATCATTCCATGCCTCTTGGAACTGCCCCCACTGATTGCGACGATATCGACCGTAGCTGATTTCGTCGGAATTAATCATCAAAAATCTAAAACTCGTCGCACTAACTAACGTCGAAAAAATATTGATTGGTCAGAATTGTATCCTAGGTCAAGAACAGTGTAAGCAAAGCCACACATAGCTTTTTAGGCCGGTACTGTATGTGCTCCTCTCCTCCTAACTCCTGCAGTTATTGTACCGATTTTTTTTAGATTTTCAGTTATTTTATCAGATCGGATAACATTTATTGCGAAATCACATGCTACAAACCAGTTCACGATTTTCATCAAAACAGGCAAAACATGGCGTGAGAAGAAACATGCGATCATAGACTTTTCATGAAAGGAATACAAAAGTAACAAATATATAAGAGAAACTGTAACAATAAGAAGTAGAAACATTAACGCAAACTGGCGACGGAGATCGCTGCCTCATTAGGGAATGACGAAGGACGTGCTGAGGTGGATGGCTTGCCATGCTGACATCACAGTTCTTCATCGGCTCCTCCTCCTGCGGTTTGACGATGTACACGATCGGACAAGAAGAACACAAATACAACCAGAGCCATCAGAAACACCACGATCAGGATCTGCAATAGAAACCATTAGTGTTGCGTAGTTAGACGAAATTTTGAAACTCGAGACTTTTGGTGCCTAAAAGCTTACTGCGAGCTGGTAAGCTAGATCAGTATGGTTATGGCCGAGGAAGAAAACTCTTGAGTCGATGAGTTACGCAGCAAGATGCTCATACCAACCCAGAATCCTTGTGACATTTGAGTGGGTATTCGAAAACCACTAAGAAGGGGCAGGGTCTAGAGGACATGGAAGTCGGTGTCTAAACCAGACGAAGGTGGCCTTAATCGGAATTCAATCCGTGGACTCCATTCGCCAACGATGCAACATATTACTGGACAATCCTAGCATAAGATGGAATGATTCATCATTATAACAAACCCTCGAGAAAGATGCTGTCTCATATTTCATCGATGAGTCAGCAGCTGTTACAGTCTTACAAAAATTTTTCCGACTGCTGCCTGTCCGCTTCGATGCTTAAAGGCCGTTAGTGCGCCTTCAACTACTGGGTTGAGAAAGCTTCATTTATAATCTTACAGGCAGGCTGCTGCCGTCGGCGTGATTCGCCTTCCTGCTGAACTTTTCGGCTTAGCTTTAGAATCATTTTGGCTTCCCTCTGTCTTGGACTTCCCTATCCAGGGACGGGCACATCGGTTTGTAGGGGAGTATTTCGCATTTTCGCTGGTTCTTCTTACCAGTACATAAACTAACACGAAATTAGCAGACACATGGGTCGCGACTCAAAACACCATTGAGGTGTGTATGGGTCAACTACCCAGCCCCCAGCTGTCGATGCTGCCGTGGTCGCGCCCGCCCCGAAAAACATGTCCATGAAATGGAGATACAAGAACCGAGTAAAACAGACGCATTCCGTCCATGCTCCCAGCATTCATACAATTTTTCCAGCGCCAACAGATTCCCAGTTCTACATAACATTCCTCGTAAGCGCGCGTGTCGCCGTGCGGCTCCTTGGCACTTTGCCAAGTCCTTTGAATTGCGCTCTCATATACAAGTAAAACGCAATTTCCTGATGCGGATAACATTGCAGGTGCTACAAAATAAGAACAGAAGATGATGACGGAGGCCAGAACTCAAGAGCAACTTGGCTGCATCTGCAGTATCCATCAGAGGCCGCGCATTCCCACAAAACATGAGAATAAAAACAGCCCAAGCGTCCCACTCGTTTGTTCTAAGTATTTCTATGGCTTTGGCGCCGGATTCGCGCCGGATCGTAGAAATTTACAGGCCAATTTATCT